GATCCCCGTTGTCTAGGATGACAGTTTGAAGAGGGAGGCATGCTCCGCCCTCTATACCTCTAGTCTGATGGGAGAGGTAAACGACCATCATTAGCCTATTCCTCCAGTATGGTGGTAGAGGCAATATCTCCTGGGTTTTATGGTCCAGGAAAAAGGATGCCTTACCCTCAGACTACACACAGTATTTTAAAACCTTTGGTCTGGTGTGCCTCTTACAGAAGAGAGAAGGCATGGAAGCCCCGTTTAGTGTCCCCAGTCTGATGGAGGAAGCCTATCTACCCCTGGTCCAGGTCATCAGTTTGACAGAAGAGGCAAGAGCTCCACTGGGGGAGTCCCAAGTCAGATGGAGAAAGCGGAGCCCCTCTTCTGGGAGTCCTTGTCTGAAAAGAGCCCCCCCCCTTCCCGTCCCCTCCCCCACACTCACGGGCCACCTGCAGCTCCACTTCCAGCATCTCAGTCTTGCCCTGCAGCGTGACGGTCTTGAGTGTGTAGCGGCCGGCGTCGGTGAGGTTCAGCTTCTGCACCAGCAGCGAGCAGTTGGCGAAGCCCACCTCCCGGCCTGTGTGCGCGGGGCCTGCGATCCAGTTCCCCGACGGCAGCTGGCTGAGCAGCCGATTGGGCTCAGAGGCAGGCCCACGGTACCAGGCATAGACCAGCAGATCCTTGGGGTAGCCGTGTACGGTCAGCGTCACGTCCTGGCCCTCCATCGGCCTGGTCGGCACCGGCACGATTGTCATGGCGACCACGGCCGCTGGGGAGAGAGCGAGGGGGGCTGGGTCACCCGGGCCTTGGTGGGGCAGAGCGTCCGCCGCCCACCCCCCAGCCAGCTCACCTATGCATCCCCCGGCTGGCACTCCCCATGCGGGTTGGCGGGAGGGAGACAGAGGAAGGAGGTGACTTGTGTGGTATGGAGGTGGATTTTGTGTCTCAGCAATGCCTGCCTGCCAGGGAGCTGTCTTCACCCGTCAGATTGAGAAACCCCAATGGGGGCTGTCTCTTCCCCCATTAGACTAGGAATTTCCGGTCTTTGGGGGAATATCTCTCCCATTAAACTGGAAGACCCCAGAGGGTTGAGTCATGTCTCCTCCATCAGATTGGAAATTCTCAGAATGTGGGGGCCGTGTCTCCCCCATCGGATAGCTGGGAGCTGTGTACTCCGGGTGTTGTCTCTTCCGTCAGCTCAAGAGACCTCAGAATAGGGGGACTATAGTTCCCCATCAGATTGAAAGATTCCAGAGGGTGGGAGGCCATGTCTCCTCCATCAGATTGGAAATTCCAGATTATCATCAGGCTGGGTCTTTCCAGTCAGGCTGGGGACCCCAGAACTTGAATGGGGGCGTGTCTGTCCCATCAGACTGGAAATTCCTAGAAAGTGGGGGGCTTGTACTCCCCCATCAGATCGGGAGTACCCCAAAGGTGGGAACTGCGTCTCCCCCATCAGACTAGGAATTCTCAAAAAAAAAAAAAAAAAAGCCATGTCTCCTCAAGACCATGTCTCCCCCATCAGATTACAAAATCTCCTCAAGCGTCTGCCTCCTCCATCTGAGTGGAAGCTCACTGAGGGTGGCTGTCGTGTCTCCTTCATCACTGCTAGAATGGAGCATGAGGCACTGCTTCTCCTCCCTAACTGGCAGCTCCTGAATAGGGAGGCCACGCTTCCCTGTTTCAAGGCCGTCTCTGCAAGGGCAGAGACCATGTCTCCTCCATCAGATCAGTCTGCCCCAGGTGGAAGAAGGGTGGCGTCTCCCTTTCCTCTGTCTCTCCCCTGGCACCTGCCGCAGGGGTGCTGACAGTTTAGGAGGCCGTTGGGGGCACCCTACCCACTCCCTGCACGTACCTGCACACCTTGGACACCCCCCATCTTGACCTGCACAGACAGGGCTCTGGACAGCGCCTGAGGTCATCTGGTCCACCCCCCTGTCTCCTGCCAAGACCAGCTGCTGAAGCCCCAGTAGGGTGGGGCAGGAGGTACACTTACCTCTGGGAATGCCATTTCTGCTTTGGGTGGAAGAGTATCCACCCTTTGGATGAGGCCCAGCCTGTTAGTAAGAGGGAGGGAGGAGGGAGGGAAGGACCGTTCCCGCTGTCCCTGGGAGATGGTGGCCGCTTGGGAAGGAACCAAGGCGGAATGAATGAGGCCCTAATGTTCAAAGCCACCATCCCCAGGGGATGAGAAAACGTCCCCTGAGGATCCTGATATCTCTGAGAAAACCAGCTGTGTCTGCACTACCCCCACCGCCAGGTTGTTTAAGGACAGAGGCAAGACAGCGCCTCTCTCTCTGTGTTTTTCCATTTGCCAACGACTGGCTGTGATTTTCCAGGAGCGTATGCGTGTATGCGTGTGTGCGCAGGCGCACACCGGCCTCTAGGCCAGATAACTGGGTTATCTAGTTGGATGCGCTGAGGTTCAGCTGTCTGTTTGGCAGGGAGTGGTTCCAGCCTGGAGCAGCTGTGACAGACTGAATTTAGCACACGGGCACCCATAGGAAGGGACATCCGAATGTTTTCCCACTCTGCAGCTGCACGGTTTGGGACATGCGGCCCATTTCTCCCTTTGCCAACCCTCAAGGAAGAGAGCCTGATTCGTCAGTTGTTTTCTGGGCGACAAGGCACAGACTTCCTCTTTTTGTCACCTGGATGAAGAGGGTCCACCTGATATGCCACTTTGTCACTTGGCCAACGCATGGGTTGAGAATCTCTCACTCTCCAATCATCTCTTGGGCAAATGGTAGCCTAATGGCGGGTAGAGCAGCCAAAGCTTGAGTCCAACTGGGCCTCCATGGAGCGGGGGGGGGTTGGTCAGGCTGGGGACGACTCACCAGACAGTTTGACCACCACTGAGGCAGATCCAGAAAGCAGGGTCTTGGGGTTCTTAGCGATACACGTGTACGTGCCCTCCTGGGCTGCCGTCATGCTACTGATGTTGAGGTGGTCTTGGCCGTTCTTTAAGGCCCGCCCGTTGAAGGCCCACATGTACTCAGGCTCCGGGCAGGACTGGGACACGCACCACAGCGTGAAGGATGTGTTGAAGTCGACTTTGATGGTGCAGCCCGTGCGGGCGGTGGAATCCTGGAGGATGGCCACGCGTTCTGGGCCAACTGTGAGGGGGGGGAGGGAGAGAAATGGGGCAGTGGAGGGAGAGGGTGGTCGAGGTGGGCACCCCCCTGGCTTTCTTTCCACCAGGATGGGCCCCTGGGAATATCTGGAGGGGAAAAGAGCTCTGGCCTTTTCGAATCCCACATGGATCTCTAACTCGCTCTGAGATCTTGACCATCACCTTCCCTCTCAGGGGAATCTCAGTTTTCTCTTCTGTAAAAAGAGGGTGTTGGGCCAGACAACATTTCAAGATATTTTTGAAATCTATGGTTCCGTTAAAAAAAAAAAAAGTCTAAATGGTTTCTGATAAGCCATTCTAAGAGTCTAGAATTCTAGTGTTCCAAGAGCAGATATTTCTATGTTCTAGGATTCTAAGATTCTAGAAATCTATGTTTCTAAGATTCTAGGGTTGGGTGGCTCTAAGGTTTTAGAATTAGATTCTAAGATTCTAAGACTCTCTGCTTCTAGAGTTTCTAGGAGTCTCAGAGTCTAGAATCCAGTGCTTCTTAAATCCAGAATGCCCTGGGTGTAGGATTCTAGGTTCTAAGTTTCTCTACATTGCCGGCCCTCGTGTACCTGAGTGACTTCCTTTCTCTGGATGGTACACTGCATATCTGCTGCCCCTGGGAATGACTCCATGCTTTGGTTATGTTTTTAATTTTATTTCCCCTCCCGTTCTACCACTCACGCCATCCCCCCTCCCTTTCAAAACCCACCAGTCCTGGAGGTATTGATTCAAAGGGAAGGATTATTCAATTTCAAAGGTGGTCTTTCGTCCTTAGGAGATGGGTCAAGTGCATTTTATGGGGAATCCCTGGTTTCTAACCCCAGCTGGCCTACTGACTCACTGCATGCCCTTGGGCACTCTCTCCTGGCCTCAGTTTCCCCATCTATGGGGTTGGGGCACTGGGTATCTCTGCAGGAGCTGGGCCAGGAGGACTCACAGTACACGGTCAGGTTGATGGGCTCGCTGCGGCTGACACTGACCGGGTTCCAGACCTCACACTGGTAGGCTCCGGCCTCCTCCCTGCGGATGCCGTGCCGGGTCAGCACCCGGCCATCAGGGGACAGGCCGAGGCGGACAGCGATGGGCAGGGTGTCGCCGTTGAAGAACCAGCGGACCTCGGCAGGGCTGGGGCTGCTGCATACCAGGCGCATGGTGTCCCGGCGCTCCACCAACGCCGTGCTGTTGGTCATGACCACAGGCTGGGCCAGGATCTCTGTGGGGCAACAGACAGAGGGGGAGGGGGCCGGGCACTGCCTGCTTCCAGGGCCTCCCCCTCCCCAGGCAGGGGGCATGGCTGGATCCCGGTGGTGCCCCTGAACCCCCAGCCAGAGGGGCAAAGAACAGGATGAGAGGCAGGTTTAATCCCAGAAGCCATCTGGGAGGAGGTGAGCATTTTAATGTTATTTTAGGTCAGTTTTTTTTTTTGTGATGGTTTTAATATTTTTTAGAATTTCTTTTTTTTTGTTGTTGTTGTTTTTAAAAGAAGGATTGGGAAGGAGATGGGAAAGCCCAGCTGGGGAAAAGGGGGCTCTGGGGGGTGTCTCACCATAGACCTGCAAGTGTCCGTAGCCCACCTCCGTCTGAAATTGCCTGTTGAGAGTCTGCAGGATGTAGGTGCCCGAGTGCCCGGGCAGGGCGCCCTGGATGATCAGGCTGCCGTCGGGGCGCACAGCCTCCCGCCCCGTGTGGGCCGGGCCAGGGGTCTCATCGCCTGTGCTTACGATGTAGCTGGCCACCAGGTAAGACAGACTGAGCGTGGGCCCCGCATACCAGTTGTAGGCAAGCAGCTCCCCTGAAAGCCCTTGGACAGCCAGTGTGACGTTGTCGCCCTCGGCTGGCTGGGCAGGCTCGGAGGTGATAGAGATCTCGGCCCCCGCGCTCAGGAAAGCGGCTGAGGAAAAGGAGCCAGAGGGGTGGGATGAGGTGGACTTGATCGCTCCCCACGTTTGATGGAGGAGGAGACGTGGCTCCTGGCACATGTGTTCCCACCACAAGTAAGTGCTCAGTAACTGTCAGCCAGGTGTGGAGTCTCAGTCCTGGGGAGGGGGCTGTGATCTGAGGATTGGATTTGATGGGCTGTGCTAACGATCTAGCGTAAGGCTTTGCTCATAGCAAGCTCATAGCACACTCTCAGCCTGCAGGACCTTGGATACCACCCAGAGGGTCCCCCCCCCGCCCCCCACCGCTGTGAGAGTCACTAGGCCTCCACTTACGAGATCAGGCTGCCTCGTGTGGCCCCTGGGCCCCGACTCCCGGTCCAGCGCCCTTCCTCTGCCTCTCCAGCCCTTCTGTTCTCAACCCAACAGATAAGCCCCAAACCTGACTAGCTGGTCGGGGCTGCCTGGGTTTGAATTGTGTGTGGTTGCCTGGATTGAGAAGCCGCGCTGGTTCTCACGTAAGAAGTGCTTACATGCTTGGCTTCATTTCTGGTACTTTCCGTGCTGATAAAGGCTAACTGTGAGCGAGGCCTCTGCGTCTAGCACTCAGCCCTGCCGCTTTCTGGCTGTGTGACCCCGACCGGTGCCTTGACCTCTCTGAGCCTCAGGCTTCTGGTCTATGGAGTAGGGGATCATGGGTGGGCCTTCTTCATAGGGTGGTTATGAATACGTGGAAAGCATTTAGAACAGCACCCAGCAAGCACTAGTAAACGCTGCTTGGAATGACCTTCAAACGACCCCAGGAGTTAGGCCCATTCCATAGATGAGGAAACTGAGGCTGAGAGGAGGAAGGCAATTGCCCAAACCATAGCCTGAGGGAGGGGCAGAGTGGCTGGTTACAACTTGCTCTAGTTAAGGCTTCCAGAGCTCAGTAAGAGTTTGCCACGTGAACGAAGGCATAGCAGTGGCTCCCTTGCCCTAGCGTACACCCCGCTCTTAGAAATCTCCAAAGTCCACCCTGAAGACCTCTCTGGGTGACGGTCCCCGGCCTGCCCCACACTGGTGACTCTTAGTGGAGCAAATTGTGCCTGTGGGAAGCAGAGCTGTCCTCCCGACGTGCTGGATTTCCGGCTGACGCCTTCCCTCCCCAGGCCGGGGATCCCCTCCCTTCCCCGAGGCCGTGGAGGCTGAGGTTCTGGGGGCGCCATTCTCGCTCACCACTGAGGAGGAGCCAGCTGCATCTGGTCAGCACCATCTTTCACCCCAAACCCAGCTCTTGGAGACAGCGGCGTTGGCGGCCCGACGCTCCGAGACCCTTCCTGGTTGGGGTTTGGCTCCGTCTGGCGCCGGACGTGGGAGGGTTCGGTGATTTGGAGCCGGGGGAGATCACCTGAATTTGGAGGGATCGAGTCACCGAGGATCTGGGGCCCCGTTTGGGTACCAGAGCAGGTGTGGCAGGCACGGGCCAGGGGCCACGACCTGGCCAGGCCTCCTGGGGCGCTGCCTAAACTTCTTTGTGCCGAGGGCCCAGGTTTGGTACCAGGAGAAGAACCAGGTCATCAGGGAGGAGGAAGGAGGGGCAGGGGAAGATTTTAAGGCAGTTCTTAACCCACGGCCCAGTCCCTGGTCTCCCTGGTGAACTTGGGGGTCACCAAGGGATAAAACCCATCTGTTGTGACTGCCGTTTTCCCAGCCCCAAAGCTGTGGGTGACCTTTAGGTGTCATCTCAGTGGCTGCCCTGTGATGTGAGCACTGTCAGAAGCCCCACTGGCAGATGGGGAAACTGAGGCACCAGGTAAGGGCTCTGACTTACCCAAGTTCTGGCAGGCGGGGGAGGCCTGCGTGGCTCTATTTCCAAAGCCACACAGAAGGGAAGGCTGGTGGCTGCACGCTTCCTCTGGGGCTCTGCTTCTTGGCCTCCTGCGTGGGGCTGAGAAATCCACATTCTCTCTCTTCTCCTGAGGCCTTGTTCTTTCTAGATGTCAAATGGGTGTATGTGGAGACTTTGGGGCTAGAGAGAGTCCAGTTTTGACCTTGGCTCTGCACTTACTGGAAGTGGGGCTGGGAGCAGCCCTTTCCTGAGTCTCCATTGACTGCTCTGAAAAAGAGGGATGGTGTGGCCCCTACCCAGGGCTGTTGAGAGCAGATGCTACTCAGGGTTGTTGAGAGCAGATGTCAGGAAGTTAGCCAGCACCAGGCAGAGTCGGGTCCCAAACATGAGGTGTGGTTGACGTTACTGGACCTAGTCCCACTGTTCCTAGCTTCCATGACCCCGGGCAAGTTATGGAGCCCACTGGGCCTCAGTTTCCTCATCTGTAAAATGGGAGTCATGGTCGTACACTCCTCATGGACTGTTGTGAAAAATGAAGTGTGAAATACTTAGCACGATGCCTGGCCCTGAGCAAGCCTCAAGAAATCTCTCATTCGTTTATCCTACAAATATTTAGTGAGCCTAGATTGTCTGCCAGGCACCCATCCTAGAGGCTGGTAGGTAAAATCCCTGCCCTCATGGGGCTGACATTCGCAGGGTAAACAAATAAACAAAGTCTATTTCACATTGGATGGAGGTAAGTGCTTCGGGGGGGGGAAAAATAAAGCCAGGAAGGGACTTTCCTGGTGGTCCAGTGATTAAGACTCCGTGCCCCCAATGCAGGGGCCCGGGTTCAATCCCTGGTGGGGGAACTAAGATCCCGCATGCCACTCAGTACGGCCAAAAAAGAAAAAGAAAGAAAGAAAAAAAAGCCAGGGAGGGGGGTGGGGGTTTTGGGGGCGGGGGGCGGGGGGGGGGGGGGGTCAGGGAGGATGTCTCTGGGAAGATGATGCTGGGCAGAGGCCATGGAGGGATCTGGGGGAAGAGCATTCTTGACAAACGTGCTATTATCGGTATCTTAATAGCTTCTGGGTCCTGGTTTCTCCAAGGCCCGAGCATCCTGCTTCTGGGCAGTGGGCCATACCTGTGGCTCACCTGTCCTGGTTTGCTCCTCCAGCAGCTCGTCCTGAGCTGCCCTGGCAGGGAGGGACTCTGACGCGGGGGTAGTGTGAGGTGAGAGGGGTGGGTGCGGCCAGGTGACTTGTGGGTGACCTGGCGCCTCCTGCTGCCTCCACCCCTCCTGTGACCTCACCTCACCCTTCTCTGTCCTGGCCCAGCCCTCTCCCCTGAGCCCGGGACCTCGTCCTAAGTGTCATTCAGGATGCCTCCCCCCCTCCCTCGATGTCCCTGGGCACCTCTCCCTCACCCTGTCCCAAACTGACCTCGACAACATCTTCCCCCAGACCCGCTCCTCCTCCCGTCCTCTTATCAGGGATTGGCGTCACCATCCACCATCACTGGGACCGAGAGGCTGGGCCTTGTCCCTGAAGCCCAATCCCCCTCTGCCCACCGCGTACCACGCCCTATCTCGCCTGCCTCTTAAATGCCCTGTGTGTCTTTGTCTCCCTCCCCATGGCCCCTGCCCTGGTCCAGGTCTCCCGCCCACCTTGTCTGGCTTCCCCTCCCCAACTCCTCCCTGGTCTCTGGCCCTGGTTTGGCCCCCTCGTGGTGCCCAGAACCTGCTATGGCTCCCCAGTGCCCTCAGGAGAAAGCCCAGCTCCTCACCGTGGCCCTGCATGGCCTGGCCCCTGCCTGCTTGACCAGCCTCACGGAACATCCCTTCCTTCTGGGAACTCTCTGCTCCAGTTATTCTGCCTCACTGGCGCTCTCTCTACCCAGCACACCCCTGCTTCCCTCTGCTCTATTCCATTGCCTATTCAACAACTCCTCCTCCTCCAGGAAGCCCTCCTTGACTCTCATACTGGGTTAGGTGCACCCCTCATCCCCAGTCCCAGCCCTGACCACCCTGGGTCCTTACTGTCAGGGGGTTGGTCTGTTTCTTCAAATGGACTGTGAGTCGTGGGAGGGCAAGACCAGGGCTGTTGTGGTCACCACCGTGTCCCCAGCACTGCCCAGCACAGGATCGGATACAGAGCAGAGGCTGAGAGAGTGTTTGTGGAACTGGACACCAGGGGTAGGTGGCACAGAGAGAGGAGTCTCCAGGGAGGTCCAGATTTCTGGTGATTTGCCGTCTGGCTGAGGAGCGAGAAGAGTTGTGGCTATTAGAGACTTGGGGGCAGATCCCGGCTTTTGTCCAGACTCCACCATGGCTCCATTACCACCCACAGCATCACACTGACCCTCCTCTGCTGTCCTTGCCCTTCCCGATCTGCTCCCAGCCTTCACCGCCCCAGCCCTTCCTCAGGTGCTCCCGGACACGAGCCCAGATATTTGGTCCAATTGAGCCCTGCAGTTTCTTGAACACCTACTATGTGCCAGGCCCAGCGGGCAGAAAGTAAACCTGGCTACCCTGGGCAGGGGCCCTTGCCTGTCTGGGAGGTGGGTGGTGGGTGATCCTGACACTGACCTCCCTGGGATTCCTCTGAGAGGGAGGGACAGCAGGCGCGTGGAAGGCTCAATGCTGTCCCTGCCCCAAAGTGGGCACCGGGGACGTGGGGGCCCTTGTTCATCCACCTTTTAACAGACGTTTACTGAGCATCTACCAGGTGCCGGGCACTGTGCTAGGCGCTGGGTTATAGCCACAAATAGGACAGACAAAAATCCCTGCCCCATAGCACTGACCTTTTGTTTGGGGAGATGCTCAACTGACAAATAAACACAAACAGGTATACTATATCAGGTGGAGATAATGCTATGGAGAAGAAGAAAGCAGGGGAGGGGATGGAGGTGTCTAGGACACTGTTTCATGTAGGGCCGAGAGAAGATGTTTTAGGAGGCGACAATGGAGTAGAGACTCAATGGGGGAGCTGTGCTGAATCTGGGGGAAAAGAATTCCAGGCGAAGGGAACAGCAAGTGCAAAGGCCCTGAGGCAGCAGTGTTTCGGTGAGTGTGAGGCTGGTGTGGCTGGAGCAGAGTGAGCGAGGGCAGAGAGGGAACAGGGGCGGATCCTGCAGGGCACTGTCGGCTGCAGGAGGACTTTGGCTTTTACTCTGAGATGGGAGCCCTGGGAGGGATGTGAGCAGAAGAAGGATAGGAGCTGACTTAGGTGTCAGTAGGATCTTCTGGCTGAGTGTGGGGAACAGATTGTGGGAGGTGAGGGCAGATGCTGGGAGGGAGTGGGGTGACTGCAATAGTCTAGCCGTGCTGTCCAGTATGGTAGCCACTACCATTAGCTTATCCGAGTTTAGATGAGCTGTGAGTGAAAAGTACATACCAAAGGGGTGAATATTTTGTAATGTATAGGAGTATTGATCACTATATTGTGCACCTGGAACTAACATAGTGTTGTAGGTCAATTTCACTTCAACTAAAAGAAGAGAAAGGACACGTAATTGCAGTATCCTAATAGGTTCTGCAGCGAACAATATTTACATTGTTATACTGGTGCCAACGCTAATTATTGATATAATTAAAAGTATGATAGGGCTTCCCTGGTGGCGCGGCGGTTGAGAGTCCGCCTGCCGATGCAGGGGACACGGGTTCGTGCCCCGGTCCGGGAGGATCCCACATGCCGCGGAGCAGCTGGGCCCGTGAGCCATGGCCGCTGAGCCTGCGCGTCCGGAGCCTGTGCTCCGCAGCGGGAGAGGCCACAGCAGTGAGAGGCCCGTGTACCGCAAAAAAAAAAAAAAAAAAAGTATGATAAAATTTTGGGGAGAGGATGAGAGGAGAGGTGGAGGTATTAAAACTTCATCTCATAACATCTACAGATTAAAAATTTTTTCTCTTCTTATTGTATCTATAGGAGATGATAGATTTAACTAAGCCTATTGTGATAATCATTTCATAATATATGTAAATCGAATCATCATGCTGTACACTTTAAACTTATACAGTGATATGTGTCCATTTTTTCTTTCTTTTTTCCTTTTGGCCGTGCTGTGTGGCTTCTGGGATCTTAGTTCCCCGACCAGGGATTGAAACCAGGCCCTCCGCAGCGAGAGCAAGGAGTCCTAACCACTGGACTGCCAGGGAACTCCCTATGTCAACTTTTCTTAATAAAACTGGAAAAAAAAGATTCTGAAGGTGAAAAAAAAAACCCCACCAAATATTGAAGATTTATTGCAGACACACACACACACAAAGAATGCAAAATAGATTGTTCACTTTTTATATTGAGTCTATGTTGAAATGATAACATTTTGCCTAGGTTGGGTCAAATAAATTCATTTCACCTGTTTCTTTTTACTTTTCTCCATGTGACACTAGGACATCTTAAAGTATATATGTGGCTCACATCGTATCTACTGCATGGCCCGGGACCAAGCAGGAGGTGGTGGACCAAAGAGAAGAGAAGTGGCCAGATGGTTGGTATATCTTACTAATGATTCATTATCCATGTTGACATTGTTGGCTTTCCCTGTTAGCCAGCATCACCCTCCCTCCCTGAGAACCCATTTTGCAGACAAGGAAACTGAGGCTCAGGCCTTAGCTTCAGGAGGTTAGAGTGGGTAAGTCGTTATCTCCTCCGCAGCTGGGGACAAGTTTCTCTGACCTTGTTTTGTCAGCTCTCTCCCCCAACCCCGGCTCTCTCTTCTCACCAGCCACATCATTAATGCCCTAGGGAGTGGGAGGTGACCTGGGACCTCCTCATTCTGTCTCCCTGCTGAGACCCCACCCACTACTGACTTAATATTTGTAAGATGGCCTGGGCTCCCGTGGCAGGACCTTTGTCCTGTCCTCCTGGGCGAAGCTGAAGCGGGTTTCTGGACCCCCCTTTTCTGTTCCCCTTATCTCTTCAGAGCGAGGCTGAGGGAGATGTAATATTTACTCATGGATCTGACTTCAGGGTGTGGCTTCCTGTGCCGGCCTGGCAAGGTCTGGCCTTGGTCCTGGGGAGGCTGTTATGTCCCCTTAATTCCTCACCCTCGAAAGAACACCCAGGCTACTGTCCCAGAGGGAACAGTGGATTGGAGGGGCAAGCCTCAGACCTTCGCACGGGCTGTTCCTTTTGGCTGGATACCCGTCCCTTCCCCCACCCCTTGTCCCCATTCTCACCTCATTCACCTGGGTTTTTCCAAGTCATTCAATCGTTTAACAAATATTTATTGAACACGGACTATCTGCCACGCTGTGTTGGGCAGACAGGCAACAACCCTTTCCTTGTGGGGCTAAATCCTATTGGAGGGAGATGGGCCATAATCAGGAAACTGATAAAGTGTATCATGTCAGGTGGAGATAAGCGCTATAAAAATATGAAATAGGGCAAGAGGGTTGGGAGGGGCAGGGATTGCTCTTTTCGTAGGGAGGGGTCAGGGAGGGCCTTTCTGAGGAGGTGATGTTTGAGCTGAGACCTGAAGGAGGTGACCGAGGGGGAATGTGACCGATCTGGGGGAAGAGTGTTTTTGGCAGAAGTCTCGGCAAGTGCAAAGGCCCTGAGGAAGGAAGGTCTTGGGTGAGTGTGAGGATGGCAAGAGGTGGGTGTGGCTGGAGCTGAGCGAGGGAGGGGGCAGTGGGAGGAGCTGGTTATAGAAGGAGCAGGGAACCCAGAACAGGGCGCTTTGGACGCCACGAGGTGGCCCATTATAGATGAGTCAGGTGATGGTAAGGTCCAGCTTGTGGTCTGAGAGCCAATGAGGGACAGAAGGGAAGGGTCTAAGTGTGGGGTGAGGGGCTGCAGGGGGACAGGTTGGTACATGTGAGGGGCTGGGCTTTTCAGGAAGGTGATTGAGGGCAGGAAGTGAAGGGCAGAATTAGGGAGGTGGAGGGGAGCAGAGAGAGTGCCACGGTTCTCTGGGGACCCCCAAAGGGCCAGAAGGACCTGGGAGGGGTGACCTGGCTAGGTATCCTTCCTCTCGGGGCCTCATTTTTCCCATCAAGAGTATGGGATGGGTTGGACTTGGGTTTAGAGTTATGGTTAAAAGCAATTTAAAAGCCATATTTTATTCTGGAAAACTTCCACAGTTTACACAGTCATCAAGGGCAGAGCAATGTCCCTCCCCACATCCATCACCCAGCTTGAGCCCATCTTATTTCCTCTCCCCTACCCATGATCCTTTCTCATTTATTTGAAAGCAAATTCCAGCCATGGTATCCTTTTATTCAGAGATACTTCAGCCTGTATCTCTAAAAGATAAGGACTCACAAGAAACAAAACAAAACAAAAACCAACCCTCACAGTGTCATTATTTTGCCTAAAATGTGAAAACAAAATCAGCAATGAACAATTCCTTAGTATCTTCAATACCCAGTCAGTGACCAAATTTCCAATCACCTCCTAAATGTTATAATCTCTTTACCAGCTTCACTGAAGCATACTTTTCATCCCATAATATTCACCTTGCACAGCCATTCCCCAAATCTAGTTTTAGAACCCTTTCATTACCCCCAAGGGTTTCCTGGTGCTGAGATCCAAAAATGGTGCAATATTTTGAAATGTTTGCTTCATCCGTGGAACGCTTTCCTCAAGCAAAATCCTCCATGGAGCCCCAGTGTGTCCAGCAGATAAAAATACCTCGGTCTCAACACAGCCCACTCCCCCAGATACAGAGACAAGCCTGCACTCTCATCAAAGGTGTGAAGGGTGGTGAGGGGACGTTTACACCTCTGAAGCCAAGCTACCCACACCATGTGACCCCGGCAGACTCTTTCAGAGTGCAATGTACTTTTGCACACAAAGGGGTTGAATTTGGGAGAGAAGGGTTTTCCCCATGAATCATAATCACTCTTGGTCATGGCCCAGTCCACTTCCTTCCCCACGCAGCCACTTCCTCGTTTGTGAAACAAGGAGCCACAGCCCTGAGAATCTAGACGTGCCGATGGACTCACGGGAAGTAGGTAGTGGTGGGCAGTGACCCCTGGTGGGTAGAGATGGGGTGGAGAGAGTCAAGGAGCCTGGGAGCTCCCAGTCCCAGCCAAGGACATTGGTCTCTTCCTAATTGGGCCAAACACTGAACCCACCATCAGCGATACCTCCTTTGGGTTAAGCATTGCCCTGTCCTTGGTGACCTTTGCTTGGCCACACAGATCCCAACTAAATTTTAGTGGGTGTGGGTTACATCTTGGTCCCTCTTCCTTTCAGACTGGAAACGTGCACAGGATAAAGCTTGGATGCTAGCAAGACTTTGGTTCCATTCCCAGTTTGTCCCTTGACAGCCTGTGTGACCTGACCTCTTTTTTTTTTTTTTTCTCCCCGGCTGTGTGTGTCATGTGGGACCTTAATTCCTGGACCAGGGATCGAACCCGTGCCCCCAGTGGTGGAAGCACAGGGTCCTTAGCACTGGACCGCCAGGGAAGTCCCTTATCTGACCTTCCTTAGCCTCAGTTTCTGCATCTGTAAAATAGGGATAATCATGGTACTTGCCTTATGAAACTGTTTTGCGGATAAAATAAATAAGTAAAGCACTTAACACAGTGCATGACATTTGGTAAATGCTCAATAAACGCTTATTATTAATTATTATTACATTGGCTTCCATATTGCCTCCCCCACTAGACTCTGAGCTCCCTGAGAGTGGGGGCTGGTCTGGTGCCCAGTTGAGTTCATTTGACAGAGCTTGGTGTATAGTAGTTGCTCAATAAACATTTGCCAATGAATGAATGGAGATGCTGGGCACAGGAAGGGAAGGATATAGGTAATGAGAATCCACACATGTTCACTTATTCCACACGCATTCCTGGAGCCCCTGCCCTGTGCTGGGTGGTGCTGGGACCCATTGGGTGACTGAGGCAGCCCCCTCTGGGGGCTCACAGTCCAGTGGGGAGATAAGCCCATCTCCAGACAGTGATGACCCAGAGTGGGCAGGGCTGGGGTGGATATAAACTCAGAGGTGGGGATCTGACCCAGCTTGGAGTGAGGGAGGACTTCCTGGAGGAAGAGGCATCTGAGCTGAGACTGGAGGATGAATACAGACCTGGGGCAGGTAGAGTGAAGTGATGTGGGTCCGGGCATGGAAGGGAATATGTGAGATTCTCGAAGTTCAGTCCCTCAGATCACAGTCCACAGGGTGGAGGTGAGGGACAGGTGTCTGAGAGGTAAGGCTGAGAGGCCCCCCAGGAGCCAGCCCTGGCAATCAGTTGAAGGCTGTGGTGAGGAGCCTGGACTTTAAGGGCACTGGGGAGCCACGGATGGTTCTGAGCAGAGAGGGGCAGCGTCGGGTTTGGGCTTTAGAAAGATCCCTTGGGCTGTCTTGTGTTGGGAGGATTGGAGAGGGCAGGAGACCAGGTAGGAGGCTGGGGAGGCAAAGGGAGAAAAAACGGCAGCCTGGCCCAGGGCTGGGCTGTAGAGAGGAGGGGGGAAGGTCCAGCTCAGGCGACTAGGGGGCAGGGTCCAGTGCCTGCCCCAGTGAGACCGAGGGAGGGATGCGCCCATGTTTCGGGGCCTGGGCAGCTGTGTGGACTCTCTGGGAGCCCCGAAGGGTAAAGAAAGGGGCAGAGGCTGGAGGCAGGTGAATGCGGGACACCACGCGGCCAGGCCCTGGTCCGTGGGTCTGCGTGGCTCTCTGCTGCCCCCTGCTGGCTCCGCCTTGAGTTGTGTCTTGCCTACAAGTCTGGCAACCAGGACCGATCCAGCAAAGCCCAAACCCAACCAGTGACAAAAGAAGACATTTCCTGGGCGACCATACTGCAGGGTGCACTCACGTTCACTGTCCCCAGTCCTACATCCCGGGTCTCCAGGTGCCTTCCCCTGCTGACACACTGAACTGAATTCAAGACTGTCCTCCCAAACCCTTCCCTTTTCTTTCTTTCCTTTTTTTTTGAACAGTGTTATCGAGATGTAATTCACATACCATACAATTCACCCATTTCAGGTGCACAGCTCAATGTTTTTAGTATGTTCCTAGGGTTGTGCGACCACCACCACAATCTTAGAACGTTTCCATCACCCCCAAAAGAAACCTTGTCCCCGTTAGCAGTCACTCCCCATGCCCCCTCCCTCCCAGGCCCTGGCAAACATTAACTGGCTTTCTGTTTCAATGGATTTGCGTATTTTGGACATCTCCTATGAGTGGAATCATACACTACGTGGTTTTTTGTGTCTGGCTTCTTTCACTTAGCATAATATTCTCGAGGTTCGTCCACATTGTAGCACGGATCAGTGTCTCATTCCTTTTAATGGCTGAGTAATATTTCACAGTATGGACAGACCACTTTTGCTTATCCATTCATCTGCTGATGGACAGTTGGGTTGTTTTCAATTTTCAGCTATTATGAATAATGCTCCTATGAACGTCTGTGGACAAGTTTTTGTGTGGACGTATGTCTTCATTTCTTGCAAACCGGGTCCTCTTGCAGTTTGAATGCCACCACTGTCTCCTACCCCTCACTGGCAAACCAGGCACCTGGGGGTTCCTCTGCTCTAGTACCC